TTTTAAACCTTAATAAAAAATAGATACAGGGCTTTAGAATATCGATACAGTATCGGGAAATGAAATATCGTGATATTTCAGTGTATCGATATTTTCTTACACCCCTAGTTTGTACGTTTGTGAAAATGTTGAAAACTGTGAACCTGTTTCCTCTGAGCTTCTGCTGGGTTACCTGGTTTGACTGGACTTTGTGTTTCAGATCAGTAACTCATTTGGGAATATGGATCCTTTTGGGACTGGACAGGTGTTACCTCCACTGCAGCTCCCTCAGACTGCTGCCCCTCCAGCTGTGGTCACCCCCCTGAAAAAACCACCTAAATGGATCTGTAGACCTGTGGGAGCCTCCTTCGCTGTGAGTTAGATTTTTTTTTATATATAATGAGGAGAACTATTAGGATTTTAGATCCTGACATGTTTTTGTGTTTTGTTTTTCCTGTAGTTTGGTGGGAAGCTGGTGTCATTAGAGAATCTGAAGTGTCAGCAGCCCACATCCCACCTTGTGCACATCAGTCAGGTTGTTACAGAAACAGCCTTGGTACAGCGCTCCCAGCAGCTGCAGGCCACTCTAAACTCACGACAGTTTGTGGACTTCTGCCAAGAGAAGATCGATGCAGCTGAGAATGAGTCTGAAAAAACTGTTTGGTCCTTCCTGAAGGTAGAAACTTTGTGACATCTTCTGGAAAAACAAGAGTTTTTACTGAAACTATTATTTTGTTTTTTTCAGGCTAATTTTGGAACTGACATCCGCAGTAGATACCTGGAGCTTCTGGGCTACAACAAACAGGAACTGGCCTTGAAGGTGATCTTCTGCTTCTGTGTTTTACTTCAGCTTTTAAATATTGTCTGCCACATCTGAAAGACATTCATTTGTCCGTATGTTGCAGATTTCAGCTGCTTTAGAAGGAAAACCTGCCAATGCTACAAAGGTAAGTTAAAGTATTTATTCTTAGAGACAACTTTAAAGGAGCTTTTCAGTACTTTGAGAAATACATTCCCTGGCTGAAAAGAATATAATTGTAAGAAAACTCAGTGTTCAATAACTGAATTCGAGACATAAACACACAAATGTTAAATAAACTGAATTGTAGAAGGAATGAAGACCATACAAACACCAGAATCTGGATCTGAACGATGGTTTCATGCTTCTCAAGCAAGCAGGAAACCAGCGATGACAACAAAACCAGAAGTTCAAGTATTTATACACGTTTCTTCAATGCCTGGCCCGCCCCCTACTGGCCTGTGGCTGAATCACAGGCACTGAAACAAAAATACTCAACTATCCATCCATCCATCCATTTTCTGTACACGCTTCTTCCTTTTCAGGGTTGCGTGGGTCACTGGTGCCCATATCCAGCAGTCACAGTGCGAGGGGTGGGGTACACCCTGGACAGGTCGCAAGTCCATCACAGGGCTCCAATACTCAACTAATGTTTGATTAATGGTTCTTTTTATGTGTTGGATAAATGATTCGGACATGAATCTAAACTATTTTAATCAAGACATAACAATAGTTAAACAATAGATTATACCAGTCAATATGGCTACGTTCACACTGCAGGCAAATCCGACCCAAATCCGATTTTTTTGACCCATCCGACCCAAATCCGATTTTTTTGACCCATCTGACTCATACCCGATTTTTTTATGACATTCTGAACGAGACAAATCTGATTTTTTCAAATCTGACCCAGGCCGTTTCAGTATGTGGTTTTAAATCAGATATGTACAGTATATGATGTTTTCAAAGTGACTGCAGTGTTTACTTTTCATTTTCCACGTAGATAGTTTGATAATAACGATGTCCAACCTGGGTCGGAGAGTATCGATCCTAAAGTTCGATACTCGGTCGATACTTTTTTCCAGCTCGTAGTTTCGTTAAAAAAAAAAAAGCTTCACTGGAACATCCCGGTCAGAGGTGTAAGAAAATGATATGCTGGCTAGCAAGCCTCACACGGCCAGCACCATAAATATGTAGGGTAATTTAAAG